AATTTAATTTTTGACTTAGCTCCCGAAATTGAAATAGGCAGATTCACAAATTATTCGATCGCGAAGCAAAATTAATTACGGGCAAGGGGACCTTGGAGACAAGGACAGGGACATAACAAAATTATTCACGTGACAACATGGCGATGGTTRGTTCAACGCAGGACTCCTTAAGCTATCATCAAAGTCACTTCTCTTTAGTCCTCCAGGGGTGTACTGCTATATAAAACTTTTTAGGCATGTTCCGTTTATGGGTATGTTTCTATTCCGGCTGCTATTTCAAAAACAAAGACAAAAACAGGAAAATTTGATGAGCATAATATGAGGCATGTCGTAGTAATTTAGCAAGGACGTCATGTCAATGGCACAGGTTTTCTAGTCATGTGTTTAAAATATTTTTTGGTATAAAGTCGCAAACTTTACTGAAGTCTTAAAGACATTTTAGAAACTTACCACCGACTTACGACACACGATGGAAAAAGCAAAAGAAAGAAACTACAGATCTTATACGAGATTTACTGTTTTTTTACCTCCTCCGTAAATGGAATAAGGATGTTGATCAAGACTTCACTTGGTCCTAGGATTGTTTTTCTGTATCCTGTAAAGAAATCCTCATCCAGGTTTACCTTCCTAGTTTTTCCTTTTGCAGAAAAGAAAGAAAATGCAAAAGAAAACGATCAATTAGAAGTAAACAGTGTATCAATTCCACGATAAATGTTCTTGCATCTGCACGACTAACATGCGCCAATCTTGAAACCATCACTGACACTGCACATGCATTAGTTACAGATATTTTTCTCTGAGGAGTAAGCCGACCCTATGTGTTATCCCTTCCATTCTCTCCCTTCCCTTGAAATTCGTTCATGCCTGGCCCCTTCCTACATCAAAGTCAACATAAATGGGGTGGGTGGATGTAGGCACTCGAAATAGGAACTACAGATAATGATGATATCACTTATTGAAAGAAAAAGAGAACGAGGATTTGATACCTCCAGCTTTTGCCAACATTAGTGTGCACCTTGCGGCCATGACCACTGGATTCAGGTCTGATATTGGACTGGCAGTCATGATATTTCCACCAATTGACTTAACATGCAAAGTCAAAAGAAAGA